CTGTTGCCGAGGCTGGAGTGCAGTTGCATGATCTCGGCTCTCCACAATGTCCGCCTCCTGAGTTTAAGTGATTCTCCTGCCTCAGCCTCCTGAGTAGCTGGGACTACAGGTGTGCACCAACACTCCAGGCTAATTTTTGTATTTTTGGTAGAGATGGAATTTCACCATGTTGGCCAGGTTGGCCTCAAACTCCTGAACTCAGGTGATCCACCCACCTCAGTCTCCCAGACTGCTGAGATTACAGACATGAGCTACCACGCCTGGCTGATGCTCAGTCTTGAATTTTCCAGCCTACATAGTTATGAGCCAAATAAACCTGTTTTCTTGATAAACTATCCATGCTCAGGTATTCTGTGATAGCAACACAAAATGGACTAAGACAGCGACCCTCATATAGTCTTTTGAATCTTTTTCTTTTGAGTTCAGTACAAGAGAATTTCCTATCTTTCCTTTGGAATTCATTCCAAAGAAGCAGATTCTTGTTAGCTTGCACCTGACAGTTGACACTTCATTAGAAGGTCTAAGTAAAGAAGTCGATGTAGATATACTTTTAATTTTGCATCTTGCTCCCAATCAGAGAACCCAGGAACTAAACAGTTGAGAGCCATATGAACACACAGGCAGGGCAGGGTAAACGGCAGCACTTTCTCGATGACTTGAAACTTGCTTCCCTGGAGTTGACACAGAGCAGTGCATGCGGCAGAATCAGGGGAATCTGTTTTGGGTATATATGCCATCAATTCACGCTTCAGAGGCAAGTTTCTTATCACTAGAGAAAGAAAAAGCGGTATGATATGAACATCCTCTTTGAGCCAAACACTTTCTTTGGGAAGGGGAATGATGGATATCCCAAAGTGCAGCGCAGGGTATGTGGGCTCACAGGCATCTGTGGAAAAGGAGAGGCACTTGTCAATTTCATATGGAAATACCAGGATAGCCCTGAAATGGCAGCTTGCAAGGAACCAGATGGAGCAGGCGATACCATGACACAATTCCGAGAATAATCCCAGTTAAGAAGGCCCAGCAAGCTGGAACCTGTTTTCCAAAGGAAAGTGCCCTTTTTCATTTGAGATAAAAAACTCAGGAAATGGGTGGATTTTTTTTCTAGCAATTAGATACATGCAAGGGAGTATTGTGAAAAGCTGGGGATAGACTGAGCAGCACATCAGTCAGACTGGGCTGCTGTCACAAGTTACTGTGGACTAGGTGGTTTAAACAGCAGCCATCTGTTTCTCACAGTTCTAGAGGCTGGACATCTGAGATCAGGGTACTAGCATGGTCAGGTTCTGGGAGGGCTGTCTTCCAGGCTGCAGATGGCCACCTTCTCCCTGTGTCCTCACCGGTTTGCAGAGAGAGAACTCTCATGTCTTCTCTTCTTAGAAAGGCACCCATCCCATCCTAAGGGTTTCAGCCTCATGACGTCATCCAAACCCAGTCACCTCCCAATGGCTCCACCTTCTAATACCATCTCATTGGAAAGGGCTGGCATAAGTTGGGGACGGGGTGGTACACACATGCAGCCCACTTAGCAGTTTGGCTAGCAGACATGCCTCTGGGCAATGGAAAACAAACTCAGCTTCACTGAAAACCCTCTCTTGAGAGTGGGCACCTTTTTCCTTCTAAGGAGGTTTGTGGAGAATTTCTGATCTGCTGCCATTGCCCCGCGTGTCTTGGTGTCTGGGATCGAGGACATACAGAGCACGTGGCACACCTTCAGTGTGTCCCACTCAGCTTTACAAATCTTCACTTCACTTGACTATAGAGAACTGAGTGCGAGGTCTGATTTCCTTTGTCTCACTATATTATCACACATTTAGGGGTTAGTAGATGTCGAAACTCTTGCAGCATGGGAAAATAAATCCTGAAGGGTGGAACTGGGAAGTTGCACATCCTGGTTGCTAGCATCTAGTCTGAAAGCAGGGAGGCTCCCCAGGGAGGCCAGAGGCCAGCAGTGAGACCAGCACCAGCCTGGCAAAGGGCTACTTCTCTCTGCCAGAGCGGAAACAGTTTTCAGAGAGTCAAGATCAACTGTGCTAACCGTCGTCAGTGAGACCAGCACCAGCCTGGCAAGGGCTGCTTCTCTGCTGCAGAGGCAAACAGTTTTCAGAAGTCCAGATCCAACTGTGCTAAGCAAGTCGTCTTCCTAGTAAGAGCTGAGTGTTAGAAATGAGTACCCAAGCCAAGTGCAGCAACATAGAGGCCAAGACACAGCAGCCAGATTCCATCTCAGCAGTCAACATTGGGATGCTAACAGCTGGTGGAGGCCAGCGTCTGCAGAGGACACTATTGCTGTATTCATGTTACCAGCATGCTGCTTGAATTTCTGTTGGAAAAAGTACTGATTCTTATTATTCTCTTATATCCTGGATATATCCTTCATTCATGTCATCCATGTGCAAGGTGCTATGTTAAGTGTTGAAAAAAGGTGAGCTAAAAGGTGACCTATGCTCCCTTGGAGCTTACGGTCTAGTGGGCAAATGAACATTCACTTAGTAAGTGTCATGAATGCAAAGTTGTATGAAAGCATGGTGCGGGGAAGCATGACCTGAGCCAGGGACCAAGGAAGCCTCCTCCAGGGACTCCATGTTTGTGTGAGATCTGGAGACATCCTGGTGAGGTGTTGGGCAGGGGGCCCTACAGCTGAAGGTGAGCCACCTGGAAGTAATAGTTCTGCTTTGGGTGGACAATCAGCTGACCATCATTTTTATGTTACCCCCCCTCATTCAGTTTATAATTTTCTTTGGTGGTTCCATTGAGATCTAGGATTTGTTTTCCCCTGCTGGAAATCTATGAGCTCTAATTTATGAAATTGTCATCATCCTTAGAGACAATCTTTGTGTTTTATTGGGCTTGAGTGCTGGATCCATTTATATTTTAACTTCTCAGCAGGGCTCTTGCACACGTGTATCTATAAATTCAGGGCCCATGCCTATGGTTATCCTGACTTGAGGTCTGGATTGCTCACTTACGGTCCAGGACAGACACAAAGCTTACTCGCTGTTTTATTAACATGGGGTGAAGACTGGGGAATTTCTGGTCCTCCGTCATGGAGAGAATTCTTTGAGGCTATGGGATTTATGCATGAGTTCTCCCTGGACCAAACACCATGTCCTGTCTCCCCTCAAGGCATTAGAAACTCAGCCACACACCCCCAGTCCTGTCTCCTGGAAATGAATCACCCATTGGCTACATAGTTTCTGTGCCTTCTCAGTGAAAGGGGTCACCCATGTCATCCCAGCTGGCTATCTTGCTGGAATGCAAGACCTATCATACTTCACAGATAAACACCAGTGACAGTACCAAATGTAAAAGACTTTATTTAAAACAGGAAAATATTAAAATAGAAAATGCAAATAAAATGAATTAAAATGCAGGAAGCCATTGCTCCCTGTGGCATACACTCATCTTTAATACATTTTGTGCAACAAACAGATGGATCGCATAGGCATGGGAGGGCTGACAAACACAGCTCCCCTGTGTTAGCCAGGCCCTGGGTCACAGTTACCCACTAACCTAAAATAGGGGTAGCTTGCAGGCAGCAGGGCACTGGGTGTGGCTCAGAAAGCAAGTTCGACTCTGTGAGCGTGCATCTGTCGCTTACACTTTCTCAGTCTTCATTGTCTCATCTGTAACGTGTCATCTAGACCAGTCCCCAAGGCTGTTGTGAAAGCAAACTCATTAAGAGTTGAACCAGCTAGAAAGTAGCATTTGTACAATGCTGTGTCTGCCTTCCAGGAGGTACCATGTTTATAAACAGAAATCTGCAAGTTTGCCAACTGTGCTCGAAATAAATGGCCCATCCAGTTTGTGCTGAGCCCTCCGACCATAGTGAGCAGTCCATCCTCAGTTCACATGGTGCGTATCTGCCTGTGTGCTCCCACTCAGCATCACGTACATGGGCAGCACCATGGAGTCAAATGAAACAAATCGATTGTGGAAACCTTTCCATCCTTTTTTTTCCCACTTGAACTAAAGAAGATTCAACCTTATATGTTGTACAAATTCTCCAGGTGAGAAAAACGTCCCTCTCTTTACCGTAAGCACCGGGTCTCAGAATTTAAAGAAGATTCAACCTTATATGTTGTGGCCAAATTCTCCAGGTGAGAAAACGTCCTCTTCTCTTTAACCGTATACTGGTCTCAGAATTAGTGCACCAGCCCAGCCTCCCAGCTGGCCAGTGATTCCTGTGTGCTCTTGCCAGCTGTAATGGTTCTGCAGTATGATGGAAACGGATTGCTGTGATCGTGAGAAAACAAACGTGTGTTTCTTGAAAATGCAATGTATCTTGTACTTCTTACAGCTCAATTTCTGGCTCCTAAGGGCTCCTAAGGACTACGCAATGACACTTGTTTTTCTTTTTTTTTTTTTTGAGACAGAGTCTCACTCTGTAGCCCAGGCTGGAGTGCAGTGATGTGATCTCAGCTCACTGCAACCCCCATCTCTGGGCTCAAGCAATTCTGCTGAGTCAGCTTCCCAAGTAGCTGGGATTACAGGTGTGCACCACCATGTCCGGCTAATTTTTTTGTATTTTCAGTAGAGATGGGGTTTTCACCATGTCGCCCTGTGTCTCAAACTCCTGAGCTCAGGCAAACCATCTGCCTCGGCCTCCTTATATTCATATGTGTGTTTGTTTTTATTGTGTTTTCTTATCACTTCAGCTTGTTTGTGTTTGTTCACATGTGTTTACTCTTAAGGCCAACACTTTTGAATTTATCTATTTTGCTTCCCTGCAAAGAGGCTGACTATAAGCATAGATCCTTACCAGGGCCATTCCCCAAATATCGCCTTAGAACCATGGCCATAGACTGCATTCACTGCCGATAAAGGCCACAAAAATGTCACAAATATATCTCTTGGTCAAAAAGGGGATAAGGCAAGAGACTGTGGGTTAATCACCATAAACTTCCCCACCAAGGGCCTATCCAAATTTCCTAAAGTTGCAGTCAGTCCTGCTACAGAAGGAGTGGCAAAGGCAGATAAATGACCACACATGAGCCAAGTTTGTGATTGAATCAGTAAAGCACACATAGGAGTTGTTTTGACGTATATTTAAAACAAAGGAAATTTTCTCAGCTGTGCAGATTAGAAGTCTAATACATAATGAGCTAAGGGCGCTTCTTCATAGGCAAAGCCTCCCGTCCTGGGCCACCAGGTGAAAGGGGAGTCACTGGAGGAGAGTGGCTGTCACTGCAGTACACTAAAGATGACCACGCATTTCTTGACCTGCTTCCTGCATCCTTTTCCCTTGAATCTGGGCTGGCCCCACTGAGTCACTCGTAACCAGTAGGACACAGCAGAAGTGATGTTCTGAGTCTCCTGTGGCTGATAACCAGGAGAAATTTGCAGCTTCCCCCTGCAAAACTCACCCAGAGCCCTGAGCTGCCACACAGGAAGTTCAACTAGCGGTGGCCACCGTGCTGGAGAGGCTCAGGCACCAGGTGTGAGTGCAGCCATCTCAGGCACCCCAGGGCAGTCCAGACACCGGTGACCCCACATCAGGTGACCCAGTTAATGCCCTATGGAGTAGAAGAGTCACCCAGCTGGTCTGATCTGAATTCCTGACCCACAAATTATCAGACAGAAGAAAATGGTGTTGTTCAAGCCACCAGGCTTTGGAACCATTTGTTACCAGCAGTAGATAATTTAGAACAGTCGCCGCTCCCCACAGAGGGGTCATCTTTGCGGAATGATGCATGAGCCCTCGGGTTGCATCCAGGAAATGGGATTGATGGGAAAGCCAGGCAGAGGCATTGAAAGGGAAGCATTAACAGGCTGAGGCTCCTCCCTGCAAGTGAGATGCAAGGTGCAGCCAAAGACACACCTGTCTCTAGCCTCTGCTCAAAATTCTGTTCCTCCTGGAACCTCCTAATTTTGTTTTCAGCTACCAGGATTCACCCCTTATCCCAGGATGCCTTACTGAGGAACATTCACAAAACTTACATGAGCTCCTCCACTGTAACCTACAAGTCAGAAGGGCCATCAGAAGAGGCTTCTGCCTGTCCTACCCTGGGCTCTGGTCTAGCCCTAGGCCTGTTCGTGGTTGGCTGTGATTCCAGTGAGTTTAACAGCTTTCTAGTGGCCTAATGTGATTCTTCATTCAGCTGATTGTGATATGGGAGAAATGGAAACATGACAAAGCAATTGGTTGAGACACAGCAGATGACGCCAGCGCTGCACCCGTATTCCCTTTGCACTCATGGCTCTAACTGCAAATACCCGCCATGACTCTGTTGGAGGCTTTCTCCACTCACAGCAAGGTGCCCGGTCATGTGCAGGGGAGGGCCAGAAATGTGGGGAGGTGAACACACGGGAGCAGCCCTCAAGCAACAGTGGAGGAGACTGGGGCTACATATTCCAGACTCCTTGCTCCTGGAGGGGAGCCCCTGGGAATATTTTTCCAGATGTCTGCAGTGGGGCTGACACAGCCACCCCCTGCTCATTCACCCACCCTGCACCAGCTCCTCTGCCTCCCTATCTCACCTCTCTACCTTCTTAATGGCACTTCCTGGGATCACCTCCAAGGAAGCTGCTTGCCCTCCTACCCTGGTCTCAGAGTCACCTCTGGACCCCGCCTAAGCTGGAAAGACGTTAAGAACAAAGGGATCAGTTTCTAGTGGCACTTGAACATGTGTGTTATGTCAGCTCCTTCATAAAATCTTTACTTAAGTTATGGTAAAAGAATAAGGTGTGAAACCATGAAGGAAAAGAAAAAGGATGTGGAGCAACAGGAAACAAAGATGTCAGCACATTTTGGAAGACGAAAGTTCACAAAGGAGTGGTGATTGTGCAGTGTGGCTGAGTCTGCAAGCCCCTGTGACAACAGCAGCAGGAATCAGCCAGTCCACTCCACCATCACCGGGAGGAGGCAGGGCTGGGGAGCTCCAGGTGTGAGGCAAGACGTGGCGAAGACATCCACCTGAAAGCAGTGCATTTCTAAGTTGTAATAGGTAAAGCACCCAGTCCTGTCTCCCATCTTCAGGGCTCAGTGGCAGACATTTCTTCATCCCAGCAGGAGACCAGTCAGAATGCCTCCAGCCTTGGTGACTCAGGGCACGAGGGGGGCAAAGGCAGACCAAAGTCCACAACGTGGTGAGCAGTGGGGCCCAGCCCCTCCAATGCCCAGGCCACAGTGCTCCTTAGCCCCCCTGGCTCTTTCCCCAAGGCAGGAGGCTGGGGGATTTGTCCCTAGAGAAAGTGAAAGTCTCTATGTTAGTCTTCTAGGGTCGCCATAACAAAATGCCAGACTGAGTGACTAAACAACAGAAATTTAACTCTGTCAGCTCTGGAGGCTAGAAGCCTAAGGTTGGCAGGGCTGGATTATCCTGAGGCCAGTCTTCTTCACGTGGCCGCCTTCTTGCCACGGCTTCACGGGGTCATCCCTCTGTGTCCACGTCATCTCTTCCTGTAAGGACACCACGCATGTCAGATGAGGGCCTGTCCTAACAATGCCGTTTCCTAACAATGCCATTTACACTTAATCACCTCTTTAAAGACCCTGTCTCCAAATACAGTCACATTCTGAGGTACTGGGGGCCAGGATTTCACCATAAAATTTTGGGGGAACAAAATTCAGCCTATAACAGTCCCCAGAGAAAAGACCAGTGTACAATGTATGCTGTTGTACAGAAGCTAAAGAAATCTAAGAGACAGCCTGCAGCCTAATCAATACTGTGGAAAATCTCACCAGTTAATCAGTGCCATATATGCAGAGCATCTGATTAGCCTGTTGGTGATCCTCAATGTTAAATAACAGCCAGTGATTTCCTGACACTTGAGAACACCTGTACCATGAAAAAACAGCTCTGGAGGCCATTAGAAGCCTAAGGTTGGCAGGGCTGGATTATCCTAAGGTGCCAGTCTTCTTCACGTACGCCTTCTTGCCACGGCAAGGCTTCACGGGTCAATATCCTCTCGGTCCACGGCTATCTTTCCTGTAAGGACACCACGCATGTCAGATGAGGGCCTGTCCTAACAATGTCGCTTTTCCTAAACAATGCCATTTACACTTAATCACCTCAAAGACCCCATGTCTCCAAAATAAGGTCACATTTCTGAGGTACTGGGGGCCAGGATTTCACCATATAATTTTGGGGGAACAAAATTCAGCCTATAACAGTCCCCAGAGAAAGACCAGTACAAATGTATGCTGTTGTACAGAAGCTTAAGAAACTAAGAGACAGCCTGCAGCCTAATCAGTCAATACTATGGAAAATTCACCAAAGTTAATCAGTGCCACATATGCAGAGCATCTGATTATCGCCTGTTGGTGATCCTCAATGTTAAATACCAGTGATTCCTGACACTCTGAGAACACCTGTACCATGAAAAATAAATAAATAATAAAGAGAGACCTGAACAAATGGGCGAGGGTCAGGAAGGATTCTGATTGATAGAGAGAGACAATGCAGGAAGTAGAAAGTGTTCCTTCAAAAAATCTATACAGCTAATATTTTCAGAGAGATAAGAATGAAATCAACTTCCTGGAAACTGAAAAGGAAAGTTGTAAAAGCAAAAGCAAGAGAACAAAAAAGCAAACAAAAACAAAAAGAGTAAACAAAAGGAAATAAGGAATATGATACTCAAATACTATCCCATGAAGGTTGAGAACGCATTGAGGAAAAGTCCCATAAAGTACAACAAAAAGAAAGAGGTAGACAATGACAAAAACAAGCAAGAGAAGGGAAGACAGAGAGAAAGAAAGAAGGGAAGGAAGAGGGAGGGAGGGAGGGAGAAAGAAAGGGAAAGAAGGAAGAAGGAAGGAAGGGGAAGGAAGGAAGGAAGGAAGGAAGGAAGGAAGGGAAGGAAGGAAGGAAGGAAAGGAAGGAAGGAAGGAAAGGAAGGAAGGAAAGAAGGAAGGCAAGCAAGCGTGGGTTAGAGAATTCATTGAACATCAAAGCCCTTCAAATCAACATTTTAGAACACTTAGGTGGCAAGGGACTCCATCAGAGCTTCTAGAGAGAAGGAGCAGCTGCAGCAGTGAAGGGATATAAAGATAATGCTAGATCTGTTGAAGTGAAGGGGTATAAAGATGATGCTAGACCTGTTGATAGTATTGAAAGTGAGAAGAGTATGGGGCAAGACTTTCAGAAGTCCAAGGAAAAATCATTTCCAAAGTGGAATTCTATGCTTTTCCAAACTGTCAGTCAAATGTGGCAGTAGAATATGGCCATTCCAGGCATGCAGAGACTGCCTCCCACGCACTGATGTTCTGAAAGCTTCCGCGGTGTGTGTTGCAGGGACAAGTTTCCCTGAGACAAGACCTGAGATCTAGGAAACGAAAACTGTAACGTCAAAGGGAAGCAAAAGGAATTTCCAAGGTGAGGCATCAAAAAGCAATCAGCTTAAATGGAGCAGAATGCCAGGAGTGTGGTCCCAGGAAATAAGAAGGAATTAATAAGTCATCTGATATGTTTGATTATAGCCTGAAAAATTGTATTGAGAGGGTATTAATGGGTGTGGTAAAAGCTATAGCAACTGAAGCCAGAAGAAAAGAGGCATAAACCACTGCACTCGGCTTAGCAGTGAACACAACATACGTAGTCAAAATAATGACCATATTAGGGGATGAAGGAAAGGAGAGGTGAAAAGGGGGTGGGGACAGAGGTTTCCAAGAAAGTGAACTCTTCATCCACCACAATAGTCGGTCAGTGATAGGTAGCTGACAAATTGATAAATCAAGAAAGTAAATATGCTTAACTCCTTAAGAAAGAAGTAAATACCAGATGGATCCACTAACAAAGTTCAAAATGTGTCTTTGGGAAAGAGCCTCAGAGGTAGAGAAGTATCCAAAGACATTGCTGCTGGTGTTTTATTTTATACATCTTTTGGTGTCATGTATTTTACCAAACACTGTGAACATACTCCTTTGATGATAAAAATTATTTTAGAAACTAAATATATACATATACTTATCAGCAATTCTACTCCTAGCTATATAGCCAGCAGAAATACATCTATATACTCATTCCTTTGATGATAAAAATTATTTTAGAAACTAAATATATACATATTTATCAGGCAATTTACCTCTAATATAGCCAGCAGAAATACATCTATATACTCATCAAAAAAAAAAAAAAAAAAAAAGACTAGAATGTTCATAGCAGAGCTATCCATAATAGCCCAAAACTAGAAACTGTTCAGATGCTTTTCCACAGGGGAATGGATGAATAGACTGCAGTGCATTCCCTGCAAACAAGAGCCTAGCGAACGGATGGTCCATCACTGCACACCCAGAGCAGAGGAGTCAGACACCATCATGCATGTACTATGGAACCTAGGGGCGTGTATCAAAGCAGGCAAACAGAATCTGGGCTGTTGTAATTCAGCAAAGTGGGCACCGCTAAGGATGAGGGACAATAAGGGGGCACAGGAAGGCCTTGGGGGTTATATGGTGCTGTTCTTAGTGCCAATGCTGGTTACATATGTGGTGGGCCTTCCCCAAGCTGTGTACTGATGCACAGAGCACTTCTCTTTGAGTGTTCCCCATGGTATACAGTCATATGGGAGATATATATCACATTTTAAAGAAGAATGAAGGGCACAGGAAAAGCCAGTATAAAGTGTGTGACCATTTACTGCTATTTGGATCTGACGAATGAGGAGAATGACAATTGTCAGTCCCACTGATTCTAGCCGTAGTTCTGATGTAATAATAGAATATCTCACAATTTTAGAATCCTTCCTATTCCTAAACGGCCTGCATGCTGGACCCCGTGGCGCCCTGAGGAAAGCAGGCGTGCTGAGGGGCACTGGTGAGGAGGGCCGGGAGGCGTTTGCAGAGGGTGGGCTGCTGGGGTGGATCCAGCTACTCACCTGGAGGAAGGTGAAGCATCATGGGCAGCCCCATTAGTATTCACAGGGCACCAGGACACAGGACCGAGCTGAAGCCACCCAGACACGGAAATCCACTTCTTGGACCAGATCACGAGTGCCCCTCGCCCTCCTCAGGGGCTCCCGTCTCTGCTTCGCTTCCTCCTGAGCTCTGTGTGCTCACACTCGAGCAGTGCCAGCCCTGCGGCCCCCTCCCTCTCAGGCAAGCTAAGCCTGAATCTGTGAGAAACCAAGGCCAGCTTCTCCCTGGCCAGGGCCAGAGGCCAGTGACACTGTTTGGCTGTTTATCCCCTCCGAATTTCATATTGAGATGTACCCCCCAGTGTTAGAGGTGGGGCCTGGTGGGGGCTGTTTGGGTCACGGGGACAGATCCCTCGTGGCTTGGTGCTGTCCTCAAGACACTGAGTGCTCTGAGATCTGGTTGAGTAAAAGTGTGGCCCCTCCTATCCCTTGCTGTCATGCTCCTGCTGTGGCCCTGTCACAGGATTGCTCCTGGTTTTCCTTCCTCCATGAGTGAAAAGTCCCTGAGGCCTCCCTGGAAGCGGAGTAGATGCTGGCACCATGCTTCCTGTACAGCCTCCAGAAGGATGAGCTACTTAAATCTCTTTTCTTTATAAGTTATCATCCTCAGGTATTCCTTTATAGCATTGCAAGGAGGGCTGAATACAGTCAGCAAATGGAGTAAATGATAGCAGCTCCCCCGTCCAGCAGCAACCTGGCGCAGCGGCCGCAGTTCCTGTTTATGTTTATGATGTTGTTATATGGTGATCTCTTTAAATTGAGATCCACAGAAGGGGCTGGCCTTGAGGACAAAGACACTCAAGACGCCTCCCTGTGAGGAAGTCCCCTCCCTTGGATGTAGTGATTCAGACGAGCAGAAGGTGGAGAGGATCGGTGCCAGCACCCAGGTGGTGACGCAGCCATCTTCTGGTGTTTGAGTTGGGTTGTAACCAACAGTCGGTACATTTGGTTTCACAGTCCATTGCCTCCCTGCCATTTAGACCTAACTAACATCAGAAGATTTATTTTTTTACGGCTTACAATATAAGGGTTGCTAAAAAGGCAGGGGTGAGAGGTCATAAAAATAGACCTGGGCCTAAACACATGCAGGAAACAAACGTGTGTTGGGAGGTCTGCGTGCAAGACCCTTTGCCTGAGAAGCCTCTCGTTCCTGTAGTTGCTGTTCAGCTTCTCTTTCTGTCCGCATTAAGAATATTGAATCTGCCTCTTTGTCGAGTACAGCTCTCAGTACTTTGTCATTGCAGGGCGAACATTAGATGATGATAAATAATGGAAATAACCTTTACAATAATGCAAAGAAATGTAATCCAGCCAGACAGGTATCAGTACTGGAAAGAAAATGAACCATAAAACACCCGTGATGCTGTACATTTCCAGAGAAATAGTTCGGGAGGCAGCCAGTGTCTTGCAGAAGCCCGTCCCAGATCTTGGGAGGCAGGTGTCTGGCGAGGGCGTAACTGCTGAGGACCCCCAGCTGTGCTGGCCCTGGTCCATGGAGGACGCAGACTGTGGAAACATCGACCTTGCTCCTAAAAACTGACTGCAGGAGAAACAACGCAGCCGGGGTAGCCCTCAGAAAACATGATTTTTCCAAAACCTCAAACAACAGTGGATAATTTCCAGCCAAAGGACAAGCAAAAGCTCATCAGAAACTCCATGAAGAGGGAAGAGAAATGCCAGCCAGTGGGTCCTGGCCTGTCTGAGACAGCCCAGAGTCCAGCACTTCAGACATCTCCAGGGTGTCTCAGGGAAAGGCAGGTAGTGACATGGCAGGGGACTGGAACTTGGAGGAGTGGACTCTGTCATGGGGTCACTGAGAACTGGGTCCCTGATGGCCAGTGCCCCTTCCCGTGACAGATTCCACACAGGAGCTGCAGACTGTGGACCCCTGAAGTGGACAGGCACTCCAGCCATGCCCTGCGAGGACGAAAGCCCTCCCCCAGTGACCTGCAGGTTTCAAGGGGCTTCCCCCTCCCACGGTCACCCCCATGTCCTTCATCTTGCAGCTGTTTCATTATCTCCACCCTGACATTGAACCGTGTGGAGTATGACCCCCCCGGCCCCACCCCAGCGACTCACTGAAGGTGAAAGAGATTCCCACGAGGCATGCAGGTGTGGAGCCTGTTTCCCAGGGGCCTGGGAAGGCCCGCGCAGCACACAGCCCGGAAACGCCTGGAGCTTCACTTGGGGCATCACCACAGGCTCTTCTCCTGGCGGGATCATCTGCCTTGCTTTCTCCCAGATCCATGCTGTCCAGTGTGGGACCCCCAGCCACGGACGACTGTTTACTTTTAAATTAGTTAAAATTAAATAATATTAAAATTCAGTTCTGCAGTAACATGAGCCAAGCCCCAAGTGCCCTGTAGACTCAGCAGGTGGCACGGTCAAGCAGCATCTCCGTCCCCCAGGAGCCTCTGCACAGCTCCGATGTGGACCTTCCCTCCCCAGCTGCTGCCTGGTCTCCAGCTCCTCTCGCCCGCTCCTTTCCTGGGTTACCCAAGAAGCTGCCAGTCCCTCCCACTCTGCCCTGCTGAGCGTGACACACTGCCAGAACTGGAGCCAAGTCCTCCCCATGCCCTGTTGAGCCCACAGGGCTTCCCTTTAATAGGTGTCACCGGCCACAGAAAGAAGCATTGGGCAGAACTCATTCCTTTCTGGATTCACCTATTTTTATCTTCCTTAGTAACTTGTAGATTGCATAAAGCCAGTGAGTGACTACCAGCCATGATTTGGGGCCTGCCTGCATGGGATTCTGCACATCGTGGAAATGTTTCTGGAGAGCATGAGTTACCTTTGGGAACACGGTAGGGGGAAAGTCTGCCGTCCTCATCATCGTGTGGTCATGAATGACACTCCCTGGGCCTTCTGAGCACTGCCAGGTGTGGGTGATGTGTCCTGCATTCAGCAAAGAGGCTAGCATCAACGCTGCAGTGCCTGAGTGCTGGGTGGAGACACGAGGGCCCAGACCTAAGGCAGCTGGGAAGATACCATGGAGAAGCTGTGGCCCGGAAGATGAATAGTGTTGAAACAGTGACAGGTGATGAAAAGGCCACTGCAAATACAACCAGAGCGAAGGGAAAATCAGGGAGAGGTGGGGAGAGGCCTGGAGAGGGAGCCGGGCAGCACCTACCCTTGACAATTACGTTTGCATCCGTGTTCGGAGATGAAGTCAGCCTCTCGTTTCCCTTTCTCTGACTTTTCTTCTCTGGTTTTGGCATCAAGATTTTATCAGTTTTATAAAATGAGTTTCTCTGTTCTCTGTAGGTGGTTCTTATCTGTTCATTTAATTATTGATAGAATTCATTTCTAAAGTAAGGTAGATTTTTTCAACTATGCTTTCTTCCAGTTACTGTTCTTTTCCAGAAGTATCCATGAACCTGTTTCCACGCCAACAACAGATGCGACTTGGGCCTGTTTTGTGCTGTAGATAATAGGATGCTAGAATCTATTTCTAAAGTAAGGTAGATTTTTTCAACTATGCTTTCTTCCAGTTACTGGGTTCTTTCAGAAGTATCCATGAACCTGTTTCCACACCAACAACAGATGCGACTTGGGCCTGTTTTGTAGCTGTAGATAATAGATGCCGAGGTCCGGCTTCTTTGTTCACTGTGCCTCTGAGATTTATTCCATGACTATCAAAAAGCAAGGACGGCTTGCCCTTCTATATCACTGGCACTCATTGGGCTTCCAGGTCAGGGGCAACTATGAGTCAGACTCCTTGAACATTCTTACAGATGCGTTTGTGAACATACATTAATAATTGTTGTTGATATTTACACAATAAATGTCTACCCTATTTACGGAGTGGAATTGTTGTTGTGTGATGTATCTATATGTTCAGCTGTAAGAAATGCTCACCATTTCCCCAAGTGATGGCATGAATTTACATCTCGCCAGGAGTGCAGGGGAATTTTAGTTTTCCCACATTCTCCGTGACACTTCCTATTGCCTCTTGGCCGTGTCTTGGCCTTGCTGGAGGGTCCATGCATGTTCTAAGCATCCCAAGGCATGTGTGCACACACAGTAGGCCTGGCCTCAAGAGGAGGGGGCCTCCTTCCCCTCCTCCTTCCCACTTGTCAGCTTGGAAGGTGTCTGCCCCTGTGGACAAGGTGGTTGGCAGGAGCAGATAGGGGACAGAGATGCCACAGTCGCCCCCCAACTCAGATTGTCACAGGAGGCTCGTGCTCTCGTACATGGCTTGCTTTCTCATCTGGGCATTTGGCAGGTTCTTCTCAGGCCCACACTCACCTTCACATGCCCAGCTTCAGCCTGCTGCACAGGCCCTGTGTGTCCGTCCACTCTGCCCTCAGTTGGGTTTCACTGGACGGGACCTAAGACCATGTCTGGTCCCTGGGGACCGCGTCAGCCTTTGTTCCTGGCCCAGCCAGGGCCTGGCCATCTCCACAGAGCTGCACCCTCCTGGCCCCACCCCGAGACTGCTGGCCAGCCGCTCGCCTTGCAGACTCTCCAGGCAGGAACCGCTGGTTCTCCACGGTGCTGGACATGCATGGAGCCCACAGTGTCCTGCAGGGCAGCCGTTTCCACAGCCTGAGTGAAAAACAAATGCCTGCCTTCTGTGGATGGAACCCAGGCTGAGCAACTGTCAGTCCTTCCAACAGCCAGCCTCTAAACCCTTGTGAAGGCACAGGCTTTGAGGGCATCTGCTGGTTCCGCTCTCTTATTTAGAAAACAGGCAACAGTTGCTGGGGATGGGGATGGGAGGTCCTCAATACCATCCTAGGTGTGTCTTTGGAGGTAGAGTCTGGGGTGGAGCTTCCAGCTGGACCTCTCGTTACAGAGCAAGTGAGCAGAAGAAAGAAGGAGGGAGGGAGGAAGGGGGAGGGAGGGAAGAAAAGGGGAGGAAGGAGGGAGAGAGGAGGGAGAGAAGACCGAATGAGGAGGGAGGGAGGAAAGAGGGAGGAGGTAGGAAGGAGGGAGAGAAGAAGAAGGAAGAAGGGAGGAAAGAGGGAGAAGCGAGGAAGGGAGAGAGGGCCAGATGGAGGGGAAGGATGGGAGGGGGAGGAAAGAGGGAGGAGGTAGGAAGGAGGGAGGGAAGAGGTAGGAAGGAGGGAGGGAAGAGGTAGGAAGGAAGGAGGGAGGAGGGAGAAAAGAAGGAAGAGTTAGGAAGGAGGGAGGGAAGAGGGAGGAGGTAGGAGGAAAGAGGGAGAAAGTAGGAAGGAGTGAGGGAAGAGGGAGGAAGAAGGGAAGAAAGATGGAGGAAGGAGGGAGGGCAGGGAGAGAAGAGGGAGGAAAGAGGAGGTAGGAAAGAGGGAGGGAAGAGGGAGGAGGAGGAGGAAAGAGAAAGGAGGAGGGAAGGAGGGGAGGAAAGAGTGAAGAAGGAGAGAGGAAAAGGAGGAGGTAGAAAGGAGGGAGGGAGGAAGGAGGAAAGAGGAAGGAAGGAGGAAGGGAGAAAAAAGGGAGGAAGGAGAAGGGAGGAAAAAGGGAGGTGCTAGGAGAGATGAAGGAGGGAGAGGTGAAAAAAGGAAGGAAGGGAGGAGGGAGGAGGGAGGGGACAGGCCTTCAGCATGCCAGCATGTGCTAAGATACATTCTTGGATAAACCAGGGACCTCAGGTGGGCATGAGAAGGGGAGACATGAGGGAACTTGGCCACTCCCCCAACTAGAGCAAGACCTGGATCCACCAGGTGCATCAGAAGGAAGCAGGGCCTAGAACCCACTCCCAGACCTCTGCCACCTCCACAAGAAGCCACTCCCTTCAGATAAAACCATTCCCCAAAATGTGGCCAATCTGCAGGGCAGGGGTTCCACCAGAGAATTGCTGGGGGTTTCAGCACTAAACACTAACACCCATGGAACGTAAATTGACTTTGTCCTCCACAAACTGGTCATTTCTCATCACGAAACGCCATGAGCAGGCTGACCTTTACATGTGGATCAACAGCTCGGTCCTTTGACAACCAGTTCTTTGACTTGGCCACTGGTAAGTGACCATTCTACCTAAGGATGTGTGACCCAGCAGTGGTACAAGGTGGATGGACCTCAGTTCGGATGGTGACAACTTCAGCCAAAGCACATTCGTTCTGGCTATCTGTCCTCTGCTTCTGTAACTTTTATTTCCTCAGTGTGAACAGCACTGCACTTGAGGGACTGGAAGGGGGTGCTTCTGTAACTGTCATTGCTATAGCGCACGTTTACTTTTGCTCTTCAACTTAAAATTCAAGTCTTCTACATATCTTTGCAACTAGGGAAGAGAAAGCAGGTCTTTTAATTGCAGAACCGCAGTGCACACATCACGCTCCAGTGTGGGCTGTGCAGGAGCTCAGCGCCTGGAAGGTTTCAGGTTGCAGGACATCTCCCTTGGGGACTGTGTCTGATGCCCTGCAGCCAGCCCTGCCGATGGAGCCTGGCTGCTTCCTGCATTCCCAACGATGAGCCCTTGTGCCCTGGGCTGTTAAGGCTCTGCCTCTGCTGTGAGCTGAAACGCTTTCTCTGAAGAGCCCTCATGGTGCAGAAATAGTGTCTTTGGGTCCTGCTGAGCCCCTACCCCTAGCCCACCGCTGGCACAGGTGCAGGCACTAGGCACTACTTGGGGCTTCCCCAACCACCTGCATTTTCTAACCACCTGCACTTATTTTCCAACGAAAGGCCAATAAACAAAGTCACAAACTTCACTTGCAACCTGTTGGCAAAAGGGCAGGGAAGGAAAAGCCCAGCCACAAGAAATAACAATCTTGACAAACTTTTTTGCACCTATACACAAAGCCTTACCTTCAGCTCAGAGACTCTTGGACTCAGGTCAAGTTGCCCTGCCCTCGTGCACAGCAAAAAACCTTGTCAAAGAGCCGGGAGCTTTCATCCAGCAGCTGTCAGGATGGAAACATGTCTTCCCATTTGCACCCTGTCAAAGGAATGAGCAAGCTGTTTCGCAGCCACAGTTATCCATTTTCTGAAACAAAAGGTTCACGTCAGGTAATCACCTTCATTAGACCATGTTGTGTGTTTTGTGTATGTAAATGACGTCTCTGCCTTGTGGGAGTGGGCACCCCAGGAACTGGCTTCTATGACACGCAGATGCCGAGTGACATTGCCGAAGGCAGCCTGCTTGCTAAGGTTGCATCTGTTTGCTGTTTCTGACATCTCCAGCGATCAGGCCCCTAACACACCACATTCCCTAGGTTTCTTGTTAGAGCCAAACATATAAACCTGCGGATCGAGTTCCCCCAGCATGGAGAATGAGAATAAAGAACAAATGTGATTCTCAAGCAGATACACCAGCTTGGGCATGAAAGCTCTGATGCATGTGTGTGCAGAGCCTGCAGAGTTGGGCCAGAACTGAGGTCAAGAAGCAGCCCCATGCCACTGCCTTTCTCCTCAACACCACCAGAGAGACTGGGACTGTGCCCCAGTTACAGAAGTATCGTATTCCTCCTATCCCCCCAGAGCCCAGCCCAGGCCCCAGAAGGACCACAACACACAAGAGAGACATGGGTTCTACCCCAGGGAGCTTACCAGTGAGCAGGAAGGCAACTATTCCACATGTGGGTACTCAGATGTGTGAGCCCTCATGAGCTCAGGAAGCCCAGCATGGGTGTTCCCACAGGGGTCAGGGAATGCTGCTGGCACATGCCCGGCCAGCTGTAGTGACTCCGCCTTCCTCTCTGCACCCCTTTGCGTAGCCATGGAGATAGCAGTAAGGCTGGTGATTATGGCGGGGACACAAAGCCATGACCCTAATGAGCGATGGCTCTTTGAGTTAGCGCTAAGGAAAGGCAGTTAGAGGAAATTGTGTTCTAATATGTGGGCCTGTGTGGAAGCGCTGCTGCCTGAAACAGACTGGGCTCATCACAACTTCATTTGTTCATTCATTTATTCATTCATTGTCCTAAGAGGCTTCCATTTTGCATCCCTTTACCTCTGCTCCCTCCAGAATTGTCCACAGTGAGCTCTCAAGCTGTTCCAAGACAAAAAGTTGGGGAGGAAAAAAACAAAAACTAGCTTTTAGGATTCAAAAGCAA